CCCCCCCCCCCCTCTCCCATTCTCTAAGTTTCTCAGCGGATTTGGGCTGTACTCAGCAAGCACAGTACAGCCCCCAACTCAGATTTAAAAGAAATTCAGTGGATGGTTGTTTTCTGATCGGTCGGCCCTACAGATCGGCAGTCGGGTTCGGCAGTCGACAGGGATGCAACCCTGGATGGGTCTGGGCCTTTTAATGATCTGGTAATTTCCATCTGTGTACTACTCGGGCTCATCAAACAGCGCTAAAAACTTTCACTATCACGCTGAATTGACTATCGAGAATGTGGGTCTATTGATGTGCATCATGCTTGTAGTACTTATTGATCCCATGCTTTGTGATGTGGGGGCTTGAAACATTGACCCAAAGGGAGGCAAGGGGGGCTTGGGAACAGCGATGCGAAGCAGGGGGCTTGGGAGCAGTTGAGGGCAGAGGGGCAGGGGAAAGGGCATGAGGACTCAGAATGAGAGAAGAGGACAACAAAAGAGGAAYGAATGGATGCAAAGTTGTAGACTGCAATAAAGAGTTTTTCGCTCTGGTTTTCGGGTTCATGAAAACAAATACTTCTCAGTTGCATCATTGTGGAGGAAGAAGAATAAATAAATACAGATTGAGACAGAGGAAGATTGGAAGGGGAATGAGAACAGGAAGACATGGGGAAGCATAATTTTAAGCGTTGGAAGGGGAAAACAAGAGAACGTGGGGGGAGATGTGGAGTTGCTGAGACATGGGAAGGATATTGTGGGTGGGGTGGTGGAATTTGCCTGTGGGGTGTTTGGCCTGTTGATGAGGTTGATTGTGACTGACGCAGGGCAGAGAGAAACACATCAAACCACTGGGAAGCTGTTAAGCAGTTCTCTTTTGAACGTTATGTGTTTATTTTGGTTTTATGTTTGTTGTTCCTTGTTTTTTTGTTGTGTCCTGACTCGCTCGAACTGACGAAGTGTTTTCTTTTGGAGTCCAACAGTTATTGTCACGGCAGCTGGCTATGAAGAGTCTTCAGTCTTCTGTACTCACTCGAACTGACGAAGTGTTTTCTTTTGGAGTCCGCAAGTTATTGTCACAGCAGCTGGCTATGGAGAGTCTTCAGTCTTCTGTAGTGTGTGTAATCTTGTCTGGTCTCGAACGTGTTGGATTCTTATGGATGGCTATCTTACACTTCTGCTCTCTGTGTGGATAGCCAGAGATTTCGTACCTCAAGCATTGTGTGGAGGGGCTATGCACAGGGGAGGAGGGAGGAGGTATAGCGACACATGGAACTGATGGAACGGTCCCTGCCCCGATTGGCCCGAAAACGACAGAAAATTACCGAGTTGGTCCACGGTCGGCAGGTCCGTAGTTACGAGGCCCGGAACGGGAATGCGGGTCCACGGCCCCAGTACAAATTAGGGGACTTGGTGCAGGTGAGGAAATGTGCTCGCCAAGGTAAGATAGCGCCACGATTCTTCGGGCGATTCCGAGTGATCGAGCTTGGACCGAACGGAGTGAACACCGTGCGCCTTGTGCCGAAGGTCTCGGGAAGCCGATCGGCACGGCCGATCGTTAGCCACGTGTCTTACCTGCGTCCCCTCCCTTCCTCCCCATCTCCTGCATCTCCTCCCTCCTCCTTGGCTACGGAGGAGGAGGACGATTCTCCATCACTTTCTTTCTCCCCTGCATCTCTCACCTTTTCCCATACTTCGTCCCCGCCACCATCGCCATGAGGTTTCTTACAGAGCGCGCTCTCAGCGATCATCTGCTAGCGCCACGAGGCTACATCTCATTGAATTGGCAGTTTCATCATCCGCGGTTCAATCTGGATCTTCTATGACTCGCTCAATTCTCCTGCACTTCGGGGGTATATGCAGCAGCCGAGTTCCGATTTGCGGGCAGTCACTAGACGGTTGTGTTGGCAGAGGCAGTAGCTGTCCATCGGCGGTCAGCTCCGGGGATCAGCCACGTGTCTACAGTTGTCGGCTTCAGCGGCAACATTGGCGCGATCAGTGCGCTACGGCATACCGCTATCCGGACGTCACTTAGGGAGTGGGAACAACAATTGGCAGCGGAGTGGAACCGCTGGCTCACGCGCCACGGGGACAATCTTGTCCCTACGGACGGCATCGACCTCGGTGGGATTCGAGCGTTCCAGCACGAACCGGCGGTGGTGCTCCCAGAACTCATCCTCTTCCAACGTCCCCAATGAACCGTTCCCAACTCTCTACCTTCGCCCTTCCATCTCTCTTTCCCACCTTTTGGCAGTCTGGTCTTCACCCTCGCTTCTCTTTCTGTCTGGAGCCGCTCGCCGTCCCCCTTCTCAATCCAAGGCAGTGGAGGCTCTGGTGTGAACACTTCGTCGATCTTTCAGTGTGCCTGGTCCGAGTGCGACTCACGTGGACCAGGGACGAAGAGCATCGCGCTTGGTTCGAGTACTTGGAGTTGCTGATCATCCAGGTGTGGAGGACGAATATGGAGGGTGATCTTCTCGGATTCCTGTTCGGATCGGTGCGACCCGGCCATCGCCAGCTAATCGTGCAGGAGCTCACAATTCCTCTCGCGCAGTTGGTTGACGATTTTCCTCTCGAGATCGTCTCGCAGAGCGACGAGAGCCCGGTCCCGCACGTCCTCACACGGACGCTGACACCGTGTCTTCAGTGGTCGGCGTGCTTGGAAGAGCCGGGAAGCGGCCGCAATCCGCCATCGCAGCGGGGATATCTGGACCCGCGGAAAATCATCGATCTCGCCTTCTTCCAAGATCGAACCGTCTCTAAAGACGAGGAGTTAGCGATCGCAGAAAAAGAAGAAGAAGAAGAAGGCGTAGAAGAAGAAGAGGCGGCTGAGGAGAACGACGAGGAAGAAACACCGGAAGAGGGGAGTTACAGTGAGCACAACGAAGGGGAGCAGAGTGAGGCAGAGGAAGAAGAAGAAGAGGAAGAGCTAGAGCACGAAGAATCGGAGTGGGAGATCTCGGTGGAAGAGGCGGAACAAATGGACGATCAGGCAAAAGACCCCGACGGAGCAAGAGAGAGGAGATCGCGGTCGGAAAGCGACAGTTGGAATTCGCCGGCGAGCAAATTTGCAGATCGCCGACGATCCGGCCCGAGATCCGGAGCCGCCCAACCCCGAAGATGGAGACCCAGCAGCCGAGACTTCGAGCGCACCGACGAGACGGCGACGAAGCCGATCCCCCTCCCCCTCGACCTCCGACCGTCCATCAGTTCGAGTCCGTATTGATGCGGGTCATCGGGCTTCGTCCCCGGTTGTTATCCCGCTGTCAGGCGGCCACAAGCAGTGCGCCGCCTGAAATCTACGGTTTTTAGATTTAGGCGCAAAGACGAGTCTGAGTTTGAACGGTACTCTGGAATGACCAGGCAACAGAAATTAGGGAACTCAGGGTACCCCTGATTTTGGGCGCACGGATCCCTACGAGTAACCCTCAAAAATGGCAAGATGGGTGGTCGCACTCGGCATATCAACGGACCGTCATTTTTGGCCGTTCGGAGGGTTAGACCCGGATTGGCCTGCCGCGAGGGGGCATCGCGGGGACTAACCCCGCTGCGACGTTCTTTGCAGCGTATGATCGGGGTCAAATAGCGCCTCAAATTTTTGTCATTTTTGGTATCTAAATCAAAGATGGGAAAAGAGAATGAGATCAGTAGGAGGGAAGAGAGAAACGTAATATTCCTTAATTTCCTTGTTTTTCGCAGCGTTTGAGTTTTGGAGAAAATACTCCGTTATTTTTATGTTTTCCGGCAATGGAATTGAAAACAAAGGAAAAGATTAAAAATGATAAAGGAGGAAACGAACAAAGAATTTCAACAATTTAATTAAGACTTTCTCGGAATTTATTGTTTACGATTATTTTACTATTTCGGGTAATAGATTTTTAAAAAAAAGGGGAATGATTAAAAATGATGGAATGAACAAGAACCGATGATTATTCGATGGTTGGCCTGATTTTGCTTGGATTTCCCACCGTCGACTCTGAACCCCGATTAATCAATGTTCTCTGGATCCCAACCTTTTTCGCCAAACCCTGATGATCAAGGTTTTTCGTGCCACTTTCTCGATCCACCTATTTACTAACTTCACTGTGACAGTCCGAGGACGATTGCATGGACAGCATAGGGTGGTATTACCTTGGGTCGACTATGGTGTTTGGTTCAGTACGGATACGAGGGCTGTTACGGAGTGGCTTCGTACTATGGTGTCTGGCCGGTGGCAGTTGTTTCACAACGGAGGTTTGGGACAGGTACGGTGATTTATTCTCAGGACCGGAGCAACTACGACAGTTATTCCAGGTTAGAGACGKTGGCGGCAGTTTAACCCAGGTTCGGCACCGTCACTGCGGCCATTTATTCCACATTTGGTGCCACTATGGTGCTTTATTTMAGTTTTGGGACCACGGTATTGTGCGGCATTTGACATGTTCTCAGATTCAGTGTTGGCTCGGTATTGGTCCGGCATCGGCATGGTATGGTTGTCACGTGTTCGGCGTTGGTTTAGCATCGCCGAGGTACACGCCGCAGATCTTTTTCGGGATCGGTATTGATACGGCATTGGCTCGGCGCCGAAGTGGTACACGCGTCTGCTTTTTTCTTTCAGGCTCGGGGATGGYTGTTTCAGGTCCGGAATAGSTTCGGTACTACCCTGGCTTTTCAGTTTTCTACGGTATCCRGCATYGGTATGATACACATCACTACATCACTTTCAGGTTCCGTGTTGGCAGCTCAGAATTGTCAAGTGGCTATTTCTGGTTCGGCCCGACACTCTGATCCGGGACAAATACGGAACAAGCATGGTAACTGGGTGTGGGGAGCAACAGCTGGACTGCGGTTCGGCTTTTGTGYTGGTAACTGGTACAATACAATTGCTTTTCAGTACCGTGGTTGRCTTTGGAGCGTAAAAGAGGCAAGTTTGGTACGGGTACCTGCCATACGGAAGTATCTGGCTTTCATTTTACAGCAGGATTCAGTTGCAGGTCCCGCTGAGACTGTATATGGGTTCCACTGTACCAGTGCTGGGCCTGGCCCTGCTTTTACCTTCAGCCTACGAAGGCCTACGGATTGGACCTGGGAGGAGGAGAGACCACGTTCAGCTGAGCGGGAAAACCATAAAGGGAAAGGGGACTAGAGAGCAGAGGGGGGTATGCACGGTGTACCCAGCGCATGTGACAGTACGGATGCAGGCGGAGTCAATGCAACAGAGAGAAGCGTGCAYGGTCGGCGAAGTGCTGACRGCAGAGGGAGGAGTGCAAGGTGTCCCCGCGGAGTAAGGACGGGAAAGACGCGTTTGCAAACAAGACTGAGGCGTCCGTGTTCGGGCGGTCACGGCGCGTGAGTAATGGAAGGGGGAGACAGACGGTGTGGGCGAGGTAATCCCAGCTACTACCTTAGATAGACTGGTCAGACACCGGGAGAGAGAGTGAGGCTGAGCAAAGGGAGAGAGAGACTGTGCGGGGGAGAGTGTGCAGTGCAAGAGGAAGTGAGTACGAGAAGGCATGAGCGAGAGAGAGCGGAGAAGCGCAGTGGACGGCTTGCCAGGTGTACACCGCCCACTTTGCAGCCTGGTTCGGAACAGGCAGAGGCGAGCGCAATGAGATCAGTTGACTTTTGTGCTTGCGCAGGGAGCAATGGCGTAGGGGGGACGGAGAGAAGGCAAGTAGGGGAGCCACGTGTGCTCAGCCGCCAGCTTGCTCTTTTATACAGCCCGATTGGGCGAACGACATGAGAGACGAATGCAGACAGGGGAAAGACGGGGGAAAGAGAGTAAGGAACGCGTGCCATGTACGCGCAGCAGCACTAGCAGGTCAGATTTGTGTCCAACTAGTGCAGAAGAGGAGAGAAGAAGAGGGTGCGAAAGAAGGAGTGCGCCAGGAGTGCTCCGTGAACAGCTTGCCTGACTCCCAGTTGGGATGGTGATGTTGACGAGAAACCACTGCGGGAATACATTACGGTCGTGCGATCCTCCATCTACTTGAAGAAGAGTAACTCTGTCCTCTTTCGGCGAGACATCTAACGGGGCAGTGACTATATCGTGTTGAGCCCTTCCAAGCCCTTGTTGGGGAACTGTTCTCACTCGGTTGGTAAGTGAACGCCCCACATCGCGCTGAAGATAGACGAAATCATCACGTTTTTTTTGTTTCAACTGAAGAGCGTATCTCCATACCCCAGCGGAGGATCCATGCTAATCACGTGAGTAAAGAAAAAAAAGGGGGGGTCTGGGTACTTGCACAGGGGAAGTCGGTGCATCATCCCACGATTTAGCTGCAGATTCGAGCGCTTACCTTCAGGAAGCGAAGGGGGACAGCGGACTAGTGCGCGCCCAGTCTGCGAGCAAGCTCAACACACACGCACTCAGATGCGTACACTCTCATACACGCGTGCACGGACTCTGGGAGAAACAGACATAGAGATGGTCATTGAGCACCCGCCATCTGACATGCACCTGGTCTTGCCTGACGACCAGGTTCCGATGAATAGGTGTGCGTGATGAGACTGACGGGCATGAGCCTATTTTAACTTCGTCAATGATTCGAGCATGAGAGTGTGGGTACAGGGGAGTGTGCGGTGAAAGAGGAAGATCATGCCATAACCGGGAGAGAAGGAAAGAAGTAGAGATGTTGACAATGGAAGACTATGGCAGTGACAAACAGCTACATACACACACACAGCAGTTGAACAGGACACGATAAAACCTTCTTGTTGGTTAGCAGATCCATTGAATCAGGCTCATTCGCAGACCCCAGAAGACCGCAGACAGTGGGGAAAAAGTTCGTAAGTCCGAAAGAAACTGGTGTGCACCGTCGAACGGGTCTATTAGAGACTAAACGGGAAAACAACCCCGTTTGAATTTGGGACTATAATCTAGGAGCGCGGGGGTTGTAAGTGCAAGAGGGGAACTCCATGAGCATCGAACCGGGTCTGAGGGAGATCTTGCAAGCTATTTCGTCGTCGTGAATATTTATTTTATTTTATATTGGTAATTCTCGTTTACTCAGGGGAAACACTTGGTGTGCAGTCAAAAGCCTCCCTTAAAGACATYTGCATGTACRTAGAGAGGGGAGAGAGTGAGACTACTTGCTTATCAACCAATTGAATTTTCTTTGTGCGTTCGTGTGAGYTACTGTGTGTGGGAACAAGGGGGGCACCAGTGAAGAAGGGAAGGACTGACTAGAGTAAAAAGGGGGGGAGAGAGTAATAGTCCAGAGAAGAAGGACGAGGAGGAGGAGATYAGACAATCAAATTACTGTTTAAAACTGAGGGCTGAGTTTTGATTAAGTATGCATCTGCTCACGCTGTTTCCCCAGTATGGTGAATCRTTCTCCCATCTGTSTCTAAAATGAACTTGCTGTCAACGGGGAACTGRTGCTTTGTCTGCCTTGCGATTGTCCATYTTGCCCTCTCAACGATCTCAGCGGAGCAGATCTGGGTTTAACTTTCAGACAGATGTGTTGCTAATAGTAAAACGAGTATTGTTTGACATGCCGTGGCTCAGATAGACCACTCGTAATAGGKCTTCCTTTTTAATTATACTACYCTTGATGATCACAGTAAACTGAATCTAGACTCAGCTCSCATATACTCATAGTGATCACCACAAAACGGGGTATATTTTGACATCGGAGAGCAACCGCATGAGCCATCCTCGAGAGAGGGTGTGACGAGCAGAGCAACTCCCAGGACCCTACTGGTCGCTGAGGACCTTTGAAGCGGGCGCGGCGAGTGACAGGCGCCGTAGCCCTTGGCTTCAGCGAACAGTAGGTAGCTCCTCCCCGGGTTTCCTCACAACTTTGGCGCCGTTGCCGGGGAGGGGACTGCACCCCCAAGGCCACGGCCTTCCCCAATCAACGGGGGTGCGAAAGTGAAACTAATTAGCTTTTAAAAAGTTGATTAGTTGATTTTTTTTTATTTTTTTTTAATTCTGTATCTTGTATTTTTTTCCTTAATCTCCCGATCCGCGCGTTTTTGCGCGAGGCGCACCGGGAGCAAAGTTCGACCTCTCGTGGAGGCGAACGTTTTGAGACGTTTTTTGAGAAATTCTAACGGATGGAAAAAGAGATATGGAATTTTTTGTATTTTCTAATTAAAAATCTCAAAAATCACGAGTTTGAATATTTAATTCATTTTTTTTCGATATCTCCCAATCCGCGCGTTTTTGCGCGAGGCGCACAGGGAGCAAAGTTCGTCCTCTCGTCGAGGCGAACGTTTTGAGACGTTTTTTGAGAAATTCTAACAGCTAGAAAAGGAGGTATGGAATTTTTTGTATTTTTCTAATTAAAATTCCGAAAGAC